GGAGGAGCACATTGTAATACAGTCCATGGTTTTGCGAGAGGGCGTGATACTACCCGGTTGCCCAAGCCGAATTAGGGAGTTGACTTAGGGGACTCCACCCGGAGCCTTTGGCTAAATAACCTAACCGCAAGGCAGCGGGGCGAATTTAGGGAATCGCGCCCATTGGGAGACGTTGACTGAATGTTCAGTTCATGCGTCTTTGTTTTGTAGATTACCAAACGGGGGCCCAATACTCCCCATGAAGTCAGCACACCTGCTGGAATACAATGTCCCACCGAATTGGAACATTGTCGCCGAACACTTTGTTGGAACGGGGTACACACGAACCACCCAGCTGGCACCACGAGGAGGTAGTTCGGCAAGCCAGCCGAACCAGCTATGGCCGTAAAATCAATTACATTGCGATCAGTAATCGCTGGAGAGGCTGCGTCCAAAAGTATCGCTCGATTTGGAGCACAAGTGTGGACACCGACCATGCACTTGTATGTGCTGACATGCGGATGCATTTTGGCGGACGCTCACGACGACGTTGTGAGCACATTAACACCAACCAACTGACGAAGGCAGCTGTTTCGAATGTATATCGAAATACGCAGACAGGCGGTTTGAGTAAGCGCTGAGTGAATAAAATGGAGGGTCACTCGTCTCAAATTCACCAGACATTACTAGCAGCAGTCAAATCCTCATGGGGTAAATTTACTAGCCAATACAAACTTTGTGTCTCTTCGCGGTCTCTGGAACTTATCGACGCTCGCCGGTGCATTCTGGCTGGAATCCACTCTCTGAGAGCACCGGGCAAAACTCCGTGCTGATCAGAAGAGAGAGACTGCGAATCTTGTTGGTCTCATCGTTCGTCAGAGATGGAATTGGCCGCTGTTCTTGGTAACCACCAAAAGTTATTCGTTCTGCTGCGGGAAACGGGTAGCAAGAGACCTGGTGTTAATGAAACTATACGTGACGAAATTGGACAGCTTATCTACTATTTGTCAAAACGTTTGGATCATTGGGTTGAGCATTTTGAGAAGCAATTTAATCGGCCGAAGTTCTTGGATTCCTCAATGGTCAGTGATCGCCCTGCTCCCTTGGCTGTTCTTTTAGTTCCGCCCTCTCGCTCAGAATTCGGATGTGAGATCGGGCTGCTAAAGTTGTATGCAACCGCGGGACCAAATTATCTTCCTCCAGCTCTGTTTAAATTCGAGAGCCCTGCTCTTGTGAATGATTTACACGATTTACTAGTGAAACTGTGGGAGCAGGAAACTGCTCCAAGGTATGAGCCAGTCCGTACTAGTCCCAATTTTCAGGGAGGCTCGCTTTCCGAATGTCACAACCATAGAGGAATCAGTCTAATCTCCATCGCCTCAAAATTCCTTGCCTCTGTCATCCTTCACAGATTGACTGGCGCTCTTGAAAACCAGATTCGTGAAGAGCAGTCTGGGTTTCGTCGAGGTCGAGCTGCATCGGCCACATCTTCACTTTGCCTCAGTTATTGGAGCACCGTCATATATATTGGCGGCCCACCGTTGTCGTGTTCCTCGACACCGAAGGTGCCTTTGATTCGGTTGATCGATGTACGCTTTAAGACTGTCTATTCAAGAAAGATTTGCCCGAGAAATGTGTGAATATTATCCCAACGCTTCACGCGTGTAACTCGCCCAGAGTGCGGGCTTGTGGCAAACTGTCGTCGCCCTTCAGTATCTCCATTGGTGTGAGCCAAGGATGCCCGCTGTCACCTTTCATCTTCAACTTCGCCATTGACGAAGCCATGGAGATCGCTTTCACAGGGCACGACATGGTGTGGAGCTGCTTCCAGATGAACGACTTCTTGACTTGTAATTTACTGGTGATATTACCATAATCTATGGCAGCTCCCAGCCATACCAAGCGGCAGTGGACGGGTTGACATTGGCTGGCAGAAGTTTCGGGCCATGCTTCGCATCCTCGAAGTGCAAAGTTTTCCTCCAAGATAGACCGGGACCACCTCCTGCGTTAACACTTGGTAGGGACCAGCTAGAAATTAATAAAACACCCAACGCCTTTTTGATCGAAGACGAGACTACGAACTGTATAGCAAAAGCGCGAGGCGTTTTTGCTTACGTTCGCCACCTGTAGTGCCAGCACGTCATCACTCTCTCACTGAGGGATAGAGTGTACGATGTAGCTGGAACCTGGCTCAGTAGGTCCAGAAACAATAATGCTATTTACGTTCGATCACTGATACCTTCGCTGTTTGGCTCACATCTGGTGGGAACACCGCATGAGCACCGAGCGTGTTCGACGCCTTGTTTATTTCACGGGTAAAGGAATGGAACCAGCTTTGCACCGTTATTTCACGCGCCAAGCTCCGATGGTTAAACCATGCCAGTCCACCGACTCCCGCGACTTGCGTTGTTTGTGCGACCGGTCTTGTGGATGGAAGAAGCGTAGGGGTGGCCAAGCAAACTTGGTCGAGAACAATATAAGCCATTACTACGACGATGGCCCCGGTCGGAGCCTCTGGGCTCCCTCGTTAAAGTCTGAAAAACGATGAACACATTTGGTGGGTTACCCTTACCGACATGGCTAGGATCCGACCTCGATAGCGTTCCTGTGGTGAGTTTATTTGTCCCTCCCCATCCCTCTTATCCTTCCTCTCCGGTCGCGAACTCTTTCCTTAGCATAGCGCAAATTTTGTTTCATACGTTATTTTTCCTGTATAATAACCCGCTGTTAGCTTTCCGGAATGATGCCCATCCGTTACTGGTACCTCAACTGGCGTGCACCTGGTGTAGTCGTTTTTATCTTTCTTTCTTATGTATTGCGGCAGAGTAGCTGAGGTGTTTTCCACCTCTAGCTAATATGTATAATGTGTGAATATTGAATTTCCTACTGTGTAAGATGGGTCTACGATTGATAGTCGCATTAACTGCTCTCCACCACAGCTAATGTGGGCTTTCCCCACACTACGCATACAACGCCTAAACCTCCTGATCTATCTGTGTACGGAGTTTGCGCCTTTCACGTCCGCTTTGATGCCTACTCTATCGTTTGTTTCGCTTATTGTGTCGGATTCACTCCTAGCAAATTCGAAGGGGTGCTCTTCCGGATAGCATCCAAATGATCAACCGAGTTTGCGAAATTCTGCTTCGGCGCACGTACAGAGTGTATTGAGCAGCAGCCGAAGGCGAGGCTCTCATTTATTGCTTCGGTATGTTTCCAACCATAGTTACCTAATGGCCATCAAACTGCATACCGTGGGTCACTTTGAATCACTTTTGATATTGGACTTCGGCATGCAGTCTCAGTCTGGACCACGATTCACTTTGTACACTACCCCAATCAATTCGTTTTCTGATACCAAATCTGAATCAAAGGTGTGTTAGTTGTCATAACCACACAAATACTGTACTCCATCACCCGTTTTCTCCCGTCATATGAACATGTCTGGACTTCCACTCGAACCCGAGGGAGTTGGGATGTCAACCGCAAGCACTCAGTAGCTTAGTTGGGTACTGTCATAGACTGACGTCTCAACTTCCCGGATTCGAGCCACCGTCTTGCCTTTTCTACCTAACGAGCACAACCCGAGAGCAGAAGCGGTCATGTAATGCAGTGTCTTGAGCAAACAACAACTCATATGCATCATTCGCATATCGAATTTCGACGTTGACAGGTCCCCTTCCCTTTTTTCTTCCATTGCGGCGTGGGTACTTGAGCTCTTTTCTGAAGGCTTTTTAGTCACTGTGCTAACTTGCCCCTAATTCTGAACCTTCCAGTTATCTTCAGTTGATACATATTGTTTTACCTCTTCCAAGCCCCTATGGCAGTTTCACTCTCTCAGTAGGCTGGTAAATACAATATACAAATGGGTACCAACGATTACTCCTAACTGACCGTTTCATCCTTAGTTCCTCTTTTGTGGGTGTGAATAGAGTGATACTTCAAGGGACTGGTTGAAGGAATTGAATGGCATTATTAGTACTTCCCCATATCTGAACTCAGTCAGATACCATCATCACACGCCTGGTAAAGAACTGTACGGCTACTGCATCCTTTCGGTAATCGTCTGCGGTGTGCATTCCATCTGGCCCCTGTGGGTCCAGAACCGGCAACCCTACCATTACCACTTCACGTTGTCGGCCACTATGCTACGTGGGACGGTAACATGACTAAGTTACTGGGTATGATATAGCTCAGCCAAATCGATATGTGGCTCTACCTGTACTCCTCTAGCTTACTCATCACCACATTAACTTTGGTAAGCCTGCTGTGAAGTAAAGTGAATTTCTCCGTACGTTACTTTGATGTCTTTTTTTTACAACCATCCAGGAAGTCACATTAAAGCTGAATTGTTGGTGCCAACTGTTGCTTCATTCAACTGGATCTCCATACAAAGTACCTGCCATGCGGAACTGAATAAGCACTCAGCCCGTCTTGTTCTTCAAATCTGCTTTACTCTCCTGTTTGTGCTCAGCTACCTGCAACACTTCATCTGGGTTATACATTTGCTTAAGGGGCGCCCCTCTTGTGGTGCAATGAACCTTTAACGATTTCAACCCTGGTTATAATACTTACCATTATAATTTCTTTTCCTCTTTTTACTCATCTGTAATGGGCACCTGCTTATTAAATGCTGCCTGTTCAATCCGTTGTACACCACCCCATAGGCTCCGGGTTTTGAAGCTTGGAGCGTCGAATGAGTTACCGCCTCCAATGTCTACCTAGCACCCTGTTCCTGAATGTTCGCTCGGGACAACTAGGTTTTGGCTCCGATCAGCATGCTCTCCTTTAACTATTTTTCATTAGCATAATCTTTGTGTGTGTTTGTGTACTGGTGTACTTCTATTATCATCGTTTTGGAGATGATGGGCTCAGTAGTGGCTTACTGCGCTTTTTCATCTGCTGATTTGTCAATTTATCATTCACCGTGTTAGGTGGAATTACAATACCATTTCGTTTGTAGAGCAGAAATCGTTTTTACAATTAGCCCTCACATACTGACCTTCTCACATGTGCATTCACAGAGGCATTTCTGAACACACTGTCGGTGGTCGCGGAAGCAGACGAAGAGGAGGAGTGGAGCGTCGACTTGCCGGATAGTCTATATCACAATTCCTTATTCGCAAAGTTATTCGAAGATGACAGGTTGGTTTTTATCCAGTTTCTCTCTCTTTGTATGTATATACACATGAGGAAGTAAACTTTCATTTCGGTGCAAGAAGAATTTGTAAGGTACCGAATCGTTAACTGCACCCGTTAGTCACATACTGCGACGGACTGGGGATTCTTGTACCTTCGCTTTAAGTAGCCTGCGTGTTTCGTGGCATCACCGAACACCAGCCAACTCTTAATTGGGTGTAAGCACACTTTTGTGCAAATAACTTAAGCATGACTTGTTGTAATCGGTAGTTTTCACCAACATCCATCTTAGATTACTACGACCACACACCGTTGATTGTGACAGCCTCTTCGGATTTACTGCTGTCCATTTACAAGTTGCGTACGCTTTCCTAACCGGCTTTTCTAAGCTTTATGCGCGCCACATAAATCGGTGCTTTACTGATTTTCACTGTCCTCGCAATCAGACTGGACCTTACCGTAGTGCGATGGTTTGTGTGCCTCAGTGATCCATTGAGCTATACTGGGTGGTGCTTTTGCACCTTCAGAGCCACTCATACCAGATTAGTCAATGATTAGAGGCTAGGCAAACTCAGCCTCCTGGTCCTCCAGGTTGGGGGTTGGAATGAGGGTGGTTCCTTATACCTTAAAACGTACTCCTTGTAGCCCAATGCCAAACCCGCTGCTTTGCGGTAAGGTTTGTGAACCAAAGGCTTTGGTTGAGAACCCTAATCGTTCTCCTGTCTAGGCCTGGGCAACCTGACAGTATCCTGCCTACGCAATACTACGAATCTCACTTCAAACAAATTTCTATTGCACTGGCCACTGCAGAGGATAATCAACAATGCCCTATCTGTTGCATCGGGCAGGGTGGATAAGGGTATGGATGCTACTGCTCAAGCCTTCCCGTCTTCTTATTCCTCCTCCTACGCTTTTTCATCCCTATCGTCCCGTTCCAGCTTCACTTTTATCCCCCCTGTTTTCAACTGCCCAATTCTCGGCCATCCCCCACCTTGCTTCAATAGTCGCTTGTCTTTTAGTTTCAACTCACATATGAACGCGGAGCGTCATTCCTGCCCTGTCAACAGACCCATGTCCAAACAAGCGGTCAAGCCCAGTTCATCGGCTTCCATTTGGAGCCCTCGATCCTCCTTCAGATTGGCATGCCTCATTGTACGCACATTGCTTCAGATCGTTCAACAAGCAGCACTTGCCCGAACATTAGAGACCCTCTCAATCGATATGTGGTGCTTATCGAAGACGTGGCTGCAAGACTTGAGCTCTGTGTTCACTCTGCGATACCCTTCAGGTGACACTAGCAGCACTTTCCCATTGCGCCTATCCGGTGACGATGCAGCTTCGAGCACCGGCCAAGCCGGTGTTGGTATTGCCCTGGGTCCTCGAGCTGAAGCTACTCTGGTTGGTTGGATTCCAATCAGTAGCCGGATGTGTGCGGTCCGATTGACTACCTCGTTCAAAACTTCGAAGTCGCGTGGGACTAACGGGTGTCTATTCGTTATCACTGCCTATGCACCGACAAACCGTAGCGATGACTCGGTAAAAGACAACTTCTATCGTCAACTGAAAGAGCTCCTTAGCGACAGAAGAAACTCGGACACTGTAGTGCTGGCCGGAGATCTGAACGCTCAAGTTGGAAAATTATCCATTGCTGAGCTGCATTTGGGCAGCAAACATGGTGTAGTCTCCCGTAATGATAACGTTGATCGATTACCTCATTTGTGTGAAGATGCTCGCTTATTTCTCGTGAGCACTAATTTCCCACACAGCACCCGCCAGAGGGTGACTTGACGCCCACCAGCCTCGAACCAGCTATGGACGCAAATCGATCACATTGCGATAAATTACCGATGGAGACACTGCGTTCAGAACTGTCGCTCGATTTGGAGCACAGGTGTGGACACCGACCATGCACTTGTATGTGCTGACCAGCGGATCGCTGTGGCGGACGCCCACGATGACGTTGTAAACATTGAAACCAGCAAACTGGCAAAGCCAGCTGTTGTAAATGCCTATCAAACTACGCTGTCATGCGAGTTGGCTAAACTCTCACTGGATGCAATTGAAGGGCACTGGTCTCATATTCACCAGACCTTACTAGCAGCAGGGAAATTTTCATGCGATATGTCTAATCGCCAACATGGACATTGTGTCTCTTCGCATTCTCTGGAACTTATCGACGCTCGCCGGCATATTCCAGCTGGACGTGAACACAATGAAACTCGGAAAGAGCTCCGGGCAAAACTCCTTGCTATCCTGAAGAGAGACCGCGAATCCTGATGGTCTCATAGTGCATCAGAGATGAAAATGGCCGCTGCCCTTGGTAACCATCGAAAGTTATTCTGTCTGATACGGAATCGAATAGCAGCAGACCTGATTTTAATGAAACGATTTTTGACGATAGTGGACAGCCTATCCATAACTTGTAAAAACGCTTGGAGTGTTTAGCTGAGCACTTTTAAATGCAATTTAATCGGCCATCATCATCATAATACATGTCAGCTAGAGCTGGTAAAACACCTCCGCTATTGTGTCGTAATACATAAAGGAAATACATACGTGCATACAATACATAAAGGAAAAATAAATACGACAGTCGCATGCCAGCTGAGCTACCAGCAACGGATAGGCATCGGTCTGGTAAGCTTCCAGCCGGCTACTAGGCAAATACAAAAAAATTAATCAGGTTTTACCCTGCGAAATAAGATCGTAGATGGAGGGGGAGGCTAAAGGGTTGGGGAGGGACAAAGACACTCACAGCAGGAACGCCACTGAGGTCGGCTCCTTACCATGTCAGCAAGTGTATCCAACCAAATGTGTTCACCGTGTTTTGGACCCCAACCAGGAGCCGTGGAGCTCCAACCGTGGCTAGCTCCGAAGTGAGGGATTTCATTCCTCTGGACCAAGTCATCACTTGGCCACATCTCCTCTTCGTCCACCCACATCCCCGGTGAGCAAACAACGCACGTCGAGGGAGTCGGTGGGCTGGCATGCGCAACACGTGGCCCAACCATCGGAGCCTTTTGCATGAAATAACGGTGCTGAGCGGTTCATTCCCTTTTCCTGGGCCGTAAACCAAGCGCCGAACACGCTCGTTACTCACGCGGTGTTCCCACCAGATGTGAGCCAAACTGCGAAGGCACCGATGGTCGGAAGTAACTAGCCTCTTCATGTCGACCGATCTTAGGGGCCAGGTTTCGCAACCGTACAGTAAGGTCAAACGAACCGCTGCATTGTGCACTCTACCCTTCAGGGCAAGTGTCATGTCGCGCCGCCGCCATATGTGGCGAAGGTTAGCAAAAGCACCTCGAGCTTCAGCTATACGGCTCGTGATCTCGTCTTCGATCCCAAGGGCGCTGATACAACTTCCCAGATAATTGAATTTCTGAACGAGTTCTAGCTGATCCCCATCAAGGGTCAGCACAGGCGGCGATCCTTGCCAATCCTGGAGGAACGCTTTGCACTTCGGTGGTGCAAAGCAAAGCCCGAAGCGACTGACAGCCAGTGCTAATCTGTCCAGCGCGGCTTGGCACATCTGGGAGCTGTCACAGATGAGGGCAATGTCGTCTGCATACTCCAAGTCAAGAAGTCGTTCTCCTGGGAGTAGCTCCACACCTTCCAAGTCATGTCCTGTAAATGCAATCTCCATGACTTCGTCAATAGCGAAGCTGAATAGGAAAGGTGACAGCGGGCATCCTTGTCTCACATTGCTGGAGATATTGAAGGGTGGCGACAGCTTGCAGTAAACCCTCACTCTGCCCGTGCTACGCGCATATAATGCTTGTATAATATTTACATTTTTCTCGGGCACACTTTTCCGGAGTAGAAAATTCCAAAGGGCACATCGATCAACCGAATCGAAGGCATCTTTGATGTCGAGGAACACGACTACGGTGAGCCGCCAATATGTGTGACGGTGCTCCAAAAACTGACGCAAGGTGAAGATGTGGTCGATGCAGCCACGACCACGACGAAACCCATCTTGTTCCTCACGAATCTGGCTTTCACGAGCGCCAGTCAGTCTGTGAAGAATTATGGAGGCGAGTAATTTGGAGGCGATGGAGATCAGACTGATTCCTCTATGGTTGCCGCATTCCGAGCGCGAGCCGCTTTTGAAGATGGGAACAATAACGGAGCGGCCCCAGTCGGTTGGGACAATCTCCTGCTCCCACAGCTTCACTAATAATTCATGCAAAGCATCAACAAGAGCAGAGCCTCCGAATTTGAGGAGGGCTGGAGGAAGATCATCTGGTCCCGCGGCTTTGTTCAACTTCAACAGTCCGATCTCACGTTCGACTTCTGAGCGAGAGTGTGGATCCAAAGAAACAGCCCACGGAGCGGGGCGATCAGCGACCGGTGAATCGAACAATTCTAGCTTTTCAATATGCTCAGCCCAACGCTCCAGACGTTTTGACAAATTGTGGATAGGCTGTCCACTCTCGTCACCTATAGTTTCACTAACACAAGGTCTCCTGCTGCCCTTTTCCCGTATCAGACGGAATAACGTACGATGGTTGCCAAGGGCAGCGGCCATTTTCATCTCTGATGCACGGTGAGACCACCAAGATTCGCGGTCTCTTTTCAGGATAGCAAGGAGTTTTGCCCGGAGCTCTTTGCGAATTTCATTGTGTTCACGTCCAGCCGGAATATGCCGGCGAGCGTCGATAAGTTCCAGAGAATGCGAAGAGACACAATGTCCATGTTGTCTATTAGACATACCACATGAGGATTTCCCTGCTGCTAGTAAGGTCTGGTGAATATGAGACCAGTGCCCTTCAATTGCATCCAGTGAGAGTTTAGCCAACTCGCATGACAGCGTAGTTTGATAGGCATTTACAACAGCTGGCTTTGCCAGTTTACTGGTTTCAATGTTTACAACGTCATCGTGGGCGTCCGCCACAGCGATCCGCTGGTCAGCACATACAAGTGCATGGTCGGTGTCCACACCTGTGCTCCAAATCGAGCGACAGTTCTGAACGCAGTGTCTCCATCGGTAATTTATCGCAATG